CGGCAGGCTGGGAAGTCACAGATACTCCGGTGTTACTGCCGTTTCCCTCCTCGCTGCATCTTCAGTTAACTCCCTGGTGCAAGTCCACCGCTGGTCTCTGTACTGGGGCCTCCTTCTGCAGCCCACCCCGGAGCCCCCCGGCTGTTCTGGGGGCGCTCCCCCGGCCAGGGACCTCGCCCCACCTGCCCCGGGCAATGAAACGGCACCTGGGCAAAAGGTGGTTGCAATGTAATTCGCATATTAATCCGTAAACGGGTATACAGTGCAGAAACATTTCTCCGAAGAAAAGGAAGGCACCGCGTGTCAATGCTGCAGAGTGGTTTTGCTGTAACGCATTCCAGCACCCACCATTAATCCTTCATAACTGGTTCCTGTACATTTAGTGCTTCCTGTTACGGCAATACAACATCAGCCAGAGGTCGCGGACCAACTTCAGAGGAAACACCTATTTCTTCACCGGCTCACAGCACGGGACTTCTGCAGCTATAGAAATACCTATGAGCACAGGCATAGGACACAGGTCGAGCTGCGTGTGCCACTAATGCCAGTCTACTTCTTGAACCTTAGGAAGACTTATTTTCTCCTACAGCTACGAAGTCATACATATGACTTTATGCATAAGGATACCACAGGGAGTTTCTTTCTCTAGCATTTATATTAATACAAATTAAAGGCCATGGCTGTACAGACAATCCGTATCTCGGTTCCAAAGTCTGCATCCATATGTAAACGGATATGTTTACTTATTACATATTATTGTAAGGATGAGTTAATTAGAAAACGGTCTGAGGATAAGACCTAATACACACACACAATGTACATACATTCTACAATATATCTATTTATGTATCAGGTAGTCATAATACATATGATAAAAAACCTACATAATACTTTCCAAGCATGAATCATGGTTGCCAAAATTTTTTTTCCATCTTTCCTCAGACTGCAAAATCCAAATGTTACCACCTCTGGAACAGCTGCCTTATATGTAACGTCCGAAGTCAGGCACCAGATAGTAACATATGGCATATCAAAGTCAAGTAAATTACATTTGTGTTACAAGACAAAAAAACCCAAACAGACAGATAGGAAGTTCTTAGCAGTAAATGACTAGTGCAATGATTCAGTCTCATCACCTCACAATCCCTCATATCCTCTTCCTGGGAATTATACAGCCCATTCTACAAACTAAAAGTGATAACGCGTTCTCTCACTGCATGTACTTAACTGCTCAGTATTAGCACACAGCAGCAGAGGGGAAGCCCCGTGCTATTATAATTGTATAAACTCATTGTTTAATCTCAGGAAGAAACTGCAAAGTAGTAGTTTACATCAGTACCTGTTTAGTGTTTTTAATAAATACATAAAAAATACACATTTAAGGCAATGTGCAAGTTCTTCCTGTGGGAAGAAAAGGAGAAACAGAGAGTAGGCTGCTACACGAATTCATGGGAAACTAACTCAGTATTGACCTTCTTCCGTCACATTTGATTCTTTCTTTCTATTTTTATGGCCAGTCCCAACTGCTGACTATCTCTTCCTTAGTAACAGCTTGCCAGATTACTGTTCTAGCACCATGTTTTTGAAACCAGTATGGTTAAAAGCAGCAATAATATCCTTGTAAATACCTGTTATATCATTATAGTTGTATTTCTATACTGAAATAGGTTATTTCCCTCAAATTCCAGTTACACTGGGACAAGCTCCTTTACATTAGCAGAAATATTTCTGCTCTGAGAGGTTGTATGATTTAACTGTTTTGACAAAGGGTCTTAACCGATAGTTCAACCAGAACAAAACTGTGCATAGACAAGGCAAACACAGACTTCCCCCCTTCCCTCTAACTAACATGTACTGTCAGGACTGCTACGTCTGTGTCATCCCCAGGAAAATCAGAGAACAGCAATACAAGTTCTTGTTAGCACCCTCTTTGCAGGCACCAGGAACATTCCCCTGTGTTGCTACCTTTCACTCTACTGCACAGTAGGAGATAGATGACTTCCCAGGCCGCAGAAGATGAGAGTGCAATGCCCACCCACATCCTAACAGGATTCAAGTCTGTACAGTATCTTTATTATTAACTTCCCTGTTTGGAACTTTCACCAATTACTAGTAAAAGTCCCAGGAATGAGAAAGGCCAAGTAATAAACACAGCAGGGAAAGTTTTGTTTCTTTGGGTTTTTTTAATTTTTAAAAAGTATAAAAATCCTGTACATTTGACAAAAGCTTTTAAAATCAGTCACAGGAAACTGCTGAGCTACTCCATTTCCTTTCTGTAAGAATCAGACACATGAGGCATTTGAACAGTTTGTCACTAATCTGACTAAACACACTAGCCTTGAAATTTAATACTAAGTGCCAGTTGAAGTATTCTGGACCGTCTCAGCTGAAACGAAAATCAAAAGAATCATTTTCTCTTCTGCTTTTGTCAGTTCAAATATGCAAGGTTTTTTTATAGTTCAGCAGTTCAGTAAAATACCTCATGGTTTAAATGCTATAGAAATGCATGAAATTTCTATACACTTTTTCTACATATATGCATGTACAAGGAGCAGTCTTAATTTATGATGAGTTCTTAACATTCAAAATACAATACGAATTTAGGTTTTCCATATGGGCATACCCTTGTATGTCAGACAACATACCAGTGTCCTTTTTTCAGGCAACAACAGTGCTAAAACCAACGTAGTTTTGAAGAGGGTTACAGGTTAAACTCTGCCAGCCACCATTCATACTCCTCACTTGCCAACAACCCAAGCAGAGCAAAACGTAAACTACCAGTTATACTTATCAGAGATATCAACTATCCGCAGCCAGAATCTCAGGATATTCCTCCCAGAACTGGTCCCCAATAATGTCACAGTGCAGGGGAACGACTTTAGTCTTAGTCCGGCTCACTTCAACTTCCTTTTCTTCCGTTTCCTTTGGCAGTTTTATTTTCTTAGTCATGACTTCATTAATCTGAAAATACAGTTGACACATTAGCAGACATGTAAGACTCCAGAGGGGATTCACAAATGGACAAGAAACAAAGCTACAACAAAAGCGGCTATCAACCCTATAGCATGCTACAGAATTTGAACACTGAATCTTTTGAAAGAGAGTCTGTTCTCAATTCAAAGGCTAACACATGAGCAGTTCAAACTGCATGCCACCATCACATGGCTTGAAGAAGTTACCTGCAAATTCACACAATCCATTGCAAATATTCTTGAATAAAGTACATGACTTTATTTGGAGCTATATAAAACAAATGGGAAACCTTCCAAATGTCTACAATTACCAAGAAAAAAAAAGTATGTATAAGAAACAAGCAGAATGTATTTCCAGGTGGAAGCCTCTATCTGTTCTAAGTAGTTCAAATTAAATAATAGAATTCATTGGTCAAAATTAAATTAAAAAAATTATCAGTTTTTTTACATATAGAAGTTGAAAGGCTGAACAAGTTATGGAGAACTCTCAGCATAGGCTGATCAGATCCTGATCACACGAAACATACATATTTCTAATTAAGATCTCCTACTACAGAAGGACACTAAGGCCATAAACATTTATGATTTTCTGGGGTCTCATCTCATACAAAACACAGGACAGATTTCTTAAACAAATTCTACATCAATTATGTAATCCAAGAACGATGAAAGTTTCCAAGTTATCATTAAAAGGAATTCCCCATTAACAGCTGCACTCCTTACTATGCTTCTTTACAGAAGTAGAAAAGGACTAAGCATACTACGAGCTGAGCTACCTTACTGGACAAAGGTTTGTAATTCCTTTGCAGTGGCAATACTTGGGATCTAATCCTGTGAAGAGCCTGGCACAGGCTCCAATGATTACCATATCAAACTGACAGCAGTCATTAAAATGTAATTTTTCAGGAAGCAGAATACTTCCTCCATTTTCAAGGCTTGTAACACTAAGAAACCAACCGTATGATTCATTAAACAAGGGAGACTTACTTAGCAAATACATCAGTCTTGTGAAATTCTGCATATATATTGTCATCTGTTGATACACATTTTATCTCAACAGTCATAATTTGTATCTAAGCCAGACTTCAGAGACCAGTTTTCATACTATGCTTATATATAAAGATATTTCAAAAACACATCCAAAGCAATTAGTCATCTTACACATCATTATATGGCAAATATGGTTAGTTTTAAAATATATTTATACATAGACATACATTTGGGATACATCTAGTGATCTTGCAGTGCAGTTTGTCTGCCACAGCACAGCTATTTAAAACATGAGCATGAAGCAAGTGGTAATATAGTTTCCTACCTTCTGCCATATTAAGACAGTTCCTTTTCTATACATCAAAGGTTCATTGTTGTAGTTGATGTTGAATTCAGAAAATAAGATTTCATTCTTATCTCCAGCCAAAGTTCCCTGAGAGGAAATGAAAAGAAAAAGTACTCCTACAGAAAACAAACAAGCAAGCAAACTGAATCTCTAGGGTAGATGGGTGAATATTGGAAGTAAGATTGACCGTTACACACGTTTTTTACCTTTAAATTACAAGGTTTAATTACCTCTCCCAGAGGAATTATTTCCAACTGCCAAATGAGGATATTAAAACAGAGAGGTTTTTTATTACGTTTTCAAGACAAATAGAAGAAAGCCAACAGACTCCAGGAGGAAACAGAAATAATCTGCTGATGTCTGCACAGTGAGACAAAACACTACAGAAGGGACTGGGAATCAATAGCAGCTGAATCCTGCCATTGTACTTCTTGCTTATGGATACTGGATGTTTTTATGACATTTTTAAGATCTCTGAACTTGCTAATTAAGAAATCAAAATCCTGCTAATATTTGACCAAAAAGACATTATTTGCTGATCATATTAACATCTGTACAATTCAAGAAGTTGAATCTACACCCGCAAAATTATTACACTTATTACCCAGCCAGGGCTCCTGGGTAGGCAAGACATAGCTTAGCAAATCTCATGATTTTCTTTGTAGCTAGTCTGAACTTGCTAATTAAGAAATCAAAATCCTGCTAATATTTGACCAAAAAGACATTATTTGCTGATCATATTAACATCTGTACAATTCAAGAAGTTGAATCTACACCCGCAAAATTATTACACTTATTACCCAGCCAGGGCTCCTGGGTAGGCAAGACATAGCTTAGCAAATCTCATGATTTTCTTTGTAGCTAGTTTAAAAAAAAAAAAAAAAAAAAAAAAGGCCTCAATAGCAGACAGTGAGCAGACTTTCTGTGCTTGCACTGGTGTCAAACCACTTCGCTGTACAAGCATCCAAAACACTGTATTATAAAGATTATTAATATGGCCTACAGAAAAAGAGAAAAGAGTGAGAGAAAGAGTATTTACCAAATCTGAGTGACTACTCAGAAAAAACAACTTCATTTCCAGAGTCATATCCAAGAAACAGCCAAGAATAAAGGGGAATTAATAATATCAGTTGCTAGAGAAGATACAATCTTTCCGATTCATTTTTAAGGTACTGCATATCGTAAGAATGACAAGAAGATGGATTTCATTATAAAATTTCAAAAAGGGAGAGCAGAGGGTGAAGGGTGTTTACGTGTAACGTAAATTATCTTCATTTGAGCAACAGGGACTAGGTACTAACGAAAGCCTAGAAATGAAATCCAACGGTCTGTTCTAGCATGGTATAAACAGCACTTTTGAGTACTACAATTTTGCTACATGGTGTGAAGTTGAACATTCACATCTCTTCATTAAAGAGAATCACCTTGGCTAAACAAACCCGGAACATAAAAAATAATAAATGAATTATATTAATAATTCTAATATTTTCTGGGCTGAAATCACTCCCAGCATGCAACAAATATAGTAGTAGCCTGAAGACTCAGAATTTCAGCCAGTATTTCTATACCCATACAAAGCCCAAAACAATTCTAAGATTGTTTATTTAAAACTACCACCCTACCTGCTGTTCTTTCACTGACGCCTGTATGTACAAATACACTGGCAATAAAGGCATTTCTATTCAGAGAGGAAGAGAACTCAACTGCACAAATCTCTGTTTTCTAGAAATGCTTACAATCTGCTTGCCTCCAGCTGAGGTAGTCCTTTAAATTTTGGTTGCTGGGATACAACACAATTCGTCCATCAAATCCTGGTGGGTACAGAAGTTGCTGGTCCTTAAAGTAATCCTTCCAATAGAAAACGTAACTTGAGGCAAACTGGGAGACCACATGAGTCATGAACTTACTTGCAAACACAAAGCAAAAGGAAAAAAGAAAGAAATATGTCAATATGATTATATATCTGTGATTATCTGAGGTATTAGTAGCGATAATTCTAGTGGACAGCAGCATTTCTTAAATAATGGCCCAACATATCAGCTACGGCATAGATTCTTCTGAAGAACAGGAAGTACTGAGAATCAAGTAAAAGAGTTTGGAAAAGGAAACATTTTGTTAAAAGAATGTTTTTTCTAACAATGTTTGTTTCTAATGTTTATCAAAACTTTTTTTAAAACTCTCTATCACTGAACATATTTTCCTGAAGGATCACATGCAAAGAGTTCCCATGAAGAACCTGAACTAATTGTAGTGTATACACCCAAACACAGCCCTACTCCTAACCTCTGCGTGTAGATAAAGGCAAATCTAAAGAACAATTACAGGTTTAGAGAGAGATGTTAAAAACAAGTTCACTTCGGTATCAAAGCAGCTGTTACCTTGCTCTTCTTTTAAACCATCTACTCTTCTTTTTGAAAACAAAACTATATTCATCACTCTGTCCATAAGCAATAGCAATATCCTCCAATTCTTGCATCACTGTCTGGGCACACTTGGTCATCAGATGAAGAGCACGGTCATCATTTGGCTTTTTGAACCCATGCTGCTCAGAAAACCTTCAAAGCAAAAATGGTTAAATAAGAATCCCTTAAAAAGCTACTAAAAATGCTAAGCCATTCATTTTCCTCATATTTGCTTTCTGTGAATATTGACTTCCAGTATCCTGTCAATACTGACAGAGAATTCCCTCCAGGTATGAAAAGCAGTAACAAAAAACCTCTTTTTATACATTCTGGATAACTCATTCTCCTTCCCATCTGTATCTCACCCTAACCAGTCCTTCAAAATGACCGGGTTCTGTATTTTACTTGGAAAAGGGTGACAAATACTACTTTCTGTAAACTCACTTTCTCCTAGGGTGCCTTTTATACTCAGTCCAACAAGGGCAACGTTATCAATGAACTCGTCAAGACCCGACAGCTTTACCAGAACCTCACGTGACCGAACCAGAGATCAAATCCCCAGCAAGAACATGTCACCTACCACTCAAAAGAACACTGTGCTATTCATCCCGATGAAAGGCGAACGCCACACAGACACTGACTCCAAACACAAGTAAATACCCCTGTATACCAGCTGCCGTCCTCCCCCCCCCAGCACACCCAAGGCACTGGTATACCATTTCCCTACCACCCTGCCGAAAGCACAGCTCTGAAGCAGCCCGTGGCCCTTGAAGACAAACACCCGTAGTAGCTCCATGCCCAGGAAAGGCCGAGTGAAGCGTCCGTAGGGATCAGGGGGGCAAGGAGGATTTGTAACCCCTGCACCTCCAGCATCCAC